TTGGTCCGTCAACGTTAGGTTTATGTTAAATCAAGATTAGAGTTTCGTTCTAGATCTTCAACTAGTATGTTTTCGAACTTGAGTGGAATGCGGATTTCTATCCAAATTTATGTTCTTGTAGAGCTGAAGAAATGGAACTTGAACGAGAATTCGTTTCGTTTCATTTGTCGGTCCTTGGAAAAGGAAACATTTTTCATCAATCAACATCATCTACAGCAATTTATTTGCAAAATACTGAGCGAGGTATCACTTCAAATAAAATGATGTAGCATTGGAAATAATCATTCTGTTTAAATGATATTTAGCAGGAAATTTTCTTGTTCATATTTCCCTAGCATGTGACTTTGTTTAAACCACCAAGAAATTAATGACACGTAATTTCAATTTCCTGAAAAATTTCCTTCGCCATTTTATAAACTTTCGTAAGAAGTTTATTCTAAGAATTTTTTTTTTTTTTAAATTTTATTACTCCTCTTATGTCTTATATTACATTTTATCATACATTATCGTTCGTTATAAAAAATTTTATAATTTTTAGCTGTTAGCTAAATTTAAGTATGATGACGGTCGAGTGCAAAGGCTTTGAAGACCATTCACTTTCTACTCTCTTACAAGCATTCTATATATTTTTGCATCTTTAAACTTAACCTGAAAAGTGTATAAAAGAACTGTAGGAGTGTTGGAATAAATATTCCACTGTGCAGTATTAACGTCACAAACTCCCAACAAATCCGCAATTTCACTCACGCGATCTTTCGAAATCACGAAAACGCCTGTATTTCAGGATCCAGTCGCGATCGCAGGACAGGACGAAGCGATTATGGTCCAGTTGTAGCTTACTGAATCTTTCCTTTAAAATACGATAACGAGGCGCGCTGTAAATCGATTTCCCGGCTGGAGACCGATCTGTCCAGAGCCGAAACTACGCACAATTACCGTTTTAATCTGCAGCTTCGAGAGAAGGAGGACGATCGTAAATATCCGCGGAGCGGCTCATCGACACCGACAAAGAGAAAACGTGCCAGAGACGCGCCGGCAGGGAAGTTCGCGCGAGCGGAAATTTATTGCCGCGGCCGATTCCGCGCGGACCGAGCGTCTATGAGCTTTTTACTTCGTCGCGGTATATATCGACAGCCTGGATCGAACACCTCGGGGGTCCTCTCCTCCTGCTTCTCTGGCCGGCTTTTTCGGCCCTCGAGTCGAGTTCGCCGCGTGAGACAATTAATCGCCGTGGTGCTTCATTTTCCCGCGCCGGGTTATTCGCGCTTTCCGAGCAGAAATATAAAAGGAGATTTCGCCGCTGATTCCGAAACGGCCGCCGTTCCTCTGGCTTTTCGTTAGCCGATCGTAATCTGCAGATTGAAAACAGCGCGGCTACAGCGTCGGATGGGACGTACACTCGCGCGCAAAATTCCGCAGCTTTTCTGCTCTGCGAAATTTCTAATCGTTGATTTCGTAAAATCTCAACGGCCATTATAAAGGTGATTTTCGTTCCTTCGTCGTTCCGAACGAGAAACTTTCTAAATGGAATTTTTAGATGGAATTAAATTGAAATTTCAGCGTTGCAATTCTAATTATTAATTTGGCGAGGTCTCGCCGCAGGAATCGTGAAAGTGATATTCATTTCCTTCCTGAAAATGAGGAACATTTTAAATGATATTAAACTGAGATTTCAGTCGCTGCAATTCTAATTATTAATTTGACAAAATCTCAACAGCCATTGCAAGAGTAATTTCCATTTCTGCACATTTCTAACGAGAAACTTTGATCTTTAAACTTTAAATCACGAAAGATTTCATTGCTGTGAACAATATGTATCTCTAGTTTCTTCAGGGACTCTGTTATTTCTTCTGAAATCTAGATCAGCGCCTCAAATTTTCGTGCGGGAGTGTACGCAGAACGCGACGCGAAGACAAAGAATCGACGCAATTTTTACTCGAGAGCTCTTTGAATTCTCCAACTCTGAGTATATCATCGAGAATTTCGCCTGAATCCGCCGAGATAAATCACTGGAACGTTATCGCGAAGCAAATGGATTAATTTAATGAAAACACATTGAGGATATAACGCAGTTGCGGCCGGTCTGACCATAACCGGGTTAAATCTACTGCGATAGAATCAAACGGCTCTACACTATCTGACCACAGGCTGGCGCCATCTAATATCAGGTTTATCCAAGCAAATACTCTAACGAGAGACTTGCAGGTTTTTTCACTCCGAATTAACCCCCTTTTTTTGCAGATCGCGTTCACCTTCTTGCGCTATAAATTAGACCCAATTTTGCGAGTTAAACTCACCTTTTCGCAGATCAAGTTCACTTTGTGAGACGAAAATGAAGTATAATACACTCTATTACTTCTCCTTGAATGACGAACCTTCCCCGTTGAGGGAGTTTTTTGTTTTTTTCAAAAATTAAATTCTGTGCAGGAAATATCTTGGCTGATCATTTAGTGGATGTTATTCCTGCAAATTGTCACAATACGAACGCACGTATGTAAAACTACCTCGCGGATGAATCTACATATATGCATATAAATAGTGTTAAACGAGCATTTTATGTCACTTTATGTTACTCTTTGTTCAAGTATCGTCATTACATACGTGAAATAAAATTTTCATCGCGAGATAACAAGTCGGATATAATATTTATCAGAATGGCTTTAGAAAACGGAGTTATCGAAGGACTTGGATATTGCAAACGGGTGGATTTGATCTGCGAAAAGGGTTAATTATAGTGCGACAGAAAAGGTGAATACGATCTGCGGAGGGGTTAATTTGAAGTGCAAAACGCAACAACGCTGACCTACCCACGGCAAAGGAACCCACGTGAAAGAGCGGAGAAGCGGAGAGTACAGGGATGGAGAAACGTGGCGACGAAGAAGAAAAAGGAAGAAAAGTAGACCCCGCGTGTTCGAGCACGGCAGCCCTTTCTCCTCTTGGATTTCGTTTGTTCGCGCAGTCAGGTATATCGATTCGCAGCAGTCGAATGAACCAGCAAGCCCTGTCGGTGCTCCAGGTCTCTTGGTCGTCGTTCATCCCCCTGGATCGAGCCGAGTCGGAGATTTTCGGGGTGTCGTCGGGGCTCGTTTGTTCCGACGCCGCTGAGATCCCATCGTCGCGTGTCCGTCCGTCATATTTACGATAGTCCTTCTCCCTCTCTCCCCCTCGCCGCGAAACAGGCTTGACGTAGTCCCGCCGATAAGCAGAAACAAATGCCTGCCGATAGGTTGCGGCGATAAAACCCGGCCGAATAAAACCTCATAGATGCTCCTCTCTTCCATTTGCGCGGAATTGGCTGCAGCCGTAAATTTCATCGCGCGAACTTCCGCCGTCTCGCGCTGCCACTTCATCCGCCGCGGCAAAGGGGATCGATATCTTTGCCGGGGATCGATGCAAACGATCCCGTTTCAACACATCCGCGTTGTCCCTCGCAACAGCAGAGCTCCGCGTTGCTTCGAGAGTCCGAAGATCGTTTTAGGAAACTTCGCCGCCTCCTTTGCTTTCGATCGTTTTTTCTTTTTTCTTTTTTTTTTTTTTTTTTTTTGACGCGACATATATATACGGACGTTTCTTTGAATTCCACGAACACGGTGGAATGTTCGAGCTTCATTTGAGGATACAGGAAGATAAGGAGTTTCGCTTCGTTCGAAAATCGTCGACTCGAACAGTCGAGAAAGACAGCGAGCAAACAGCGTGGATGCGTTTGCAGCAGAAAATCTCTCTGGGTTTATCGCTGCGCATTCCTTGCCCGTGTCCCCTCGAATGGGAGACGATTAAAGAGTCTGAATTGCGCGGATGGCTCGGATTATACTCTGTTTGTTCAGTTGGAGCGTAATCGATCAGAAACAGCCGCAGAGGAAAGACATAGCCGCAGTTACATCATAGGCGGTTCTACCCGAGATCCTCGAAACGGATTTTCTCTTCGCGAGCGGATCAATAACAACGACGCGATGATGATCGACGACACTCGAGGCGAGCCTGCATTTTTCCACTCTTAATCACCGGCCCTAATTGGTCAATTACGCTCATTACCGTCTTCCACGGTAGAGACGCGAGTCAAATGATAAAATCTCTCTCTCTCTCTCTCT